AATATGAGAATTTAGAGCCCCGGTGCTTTGATACAACCTTATCTAACGTCATTATAGAAGCTCTCATTCCCTGTCTGAATCTCTAGTCCCATTACAAGTTAATTGGCCGGAGTTACCTACAGAGGTTGCTCTGCTGCTGTCTGATACAATCTACTAGGCTTTCTAGCTGATTGGCAGATCGCGAGTAGGCTTTGCATGGAGCTGTCCACTCGCTGACGCTGACTCATAATGGGAGTATTGGTGTCTGGGGGGCGTTACTCCTTAGTTAGGTCCGTGTGTGATGAGATGCAGGCCACTGGAAGGTTTTCACAGCTCTGTGCACCGTGTCACTGCTCAGTAAGAAGTAATAGCCTGAGGTCCCTGAATATGTGCATAGACTCACAGCATGGGTTCTCTGACTTCATTGCACTGCGCCCCCTTCTGACAACAAAAATTACTACAAGACTCCAAGGCAGGGAAAACACCGAAGTCGGAGCCCATCTGAGTCCTAGGGTATGTTGACGGAGCCATGTAGATGAGTTCACTAGACATAGGAAAATGAAGCAGTGATTTAAATAATCGCCGCTTCATTTACATCAAAATGGCCGCCGCGCTGTGCGGATCAGCTGTTTGGCGGCACAGCGGGGCAGTCTGGACATGCCGCGGTCAACAAGGGACGCCTTTGTCGACCGTTCCGGGATGCCTCATGAAATGAGGTTTACCGGAGCGGTCGACAAAGGCTTCCCTTTTCGACTGTGGCCCGTCCAGAGTGCCCCGCTGTGCTGCCAAACAGCTGATCCGCACAGCGCGGCGGCCATTTTGATGTAAACAAAGCGACGATTATTTAAATCGCAGCTTCATTTTCCTGTCTAGTGAACTCATCTACATGGTTCTGTCGACGGAGCCATGTAGTCTAGACATACCCCTACTGTCCCCGGCAGGGGGATAGGGCAGTAAAGCCAAAGCTCAAAGGCTTCAGACCCAGGAAGAGGGCCTGGATTATGGTCCCCACCATGCAGGGCTGAAGCTCAGGGATTTTAGCTCTGGCCTCCAGCAGTTGGCCTGGGCCCCAGCAAGTCTAATAACAGTCCTGGTGACGCCCACTGAAATAGAGTTATGGCCCATAGTTTGAGAACCACTGGACTGCAGTATATTTTTGTGATCCCATAGGCCTGATTCTCTTCACATGAGTGTAAACTAGGGGTAGCTCCCCAGAGGTGACGGCCTGCCATTGAAGTCCGTGGTGTTACACCTGTGAGGGAATGGAGACTTGGGCCCTAGATTTCTGAACCCTACACTCATTGGCAGCCTTAGGCTCAGTACCTTGCCCTCATGTGAATTGCCAATAGGGTTAGTGAATTCAGTAGAGCAGGGGAGCAGACTGCCATGCTGGGTCCCTGGACAGGGTGTGTGTGGGGCGCTCTATGCCCCCAGAAAGGGCAGGTCCTCTGGCAGAAGAGGCAGGGCTAGGACAGGACCCAGGATGCACCCAGAATGCACTGCCGCTTCTCCCCACAGCCCTTCAAGCTGCTAGGAAGCTGTGTTGTTATTGCGGCACTGTAACGGGCCGGGGGACAGCCAGAAGCCCCAGGCACTTTACAATCACTGGACCCTGCGGCAGTTGCCCTCTTCCTGTGGGGGGGCATGCAGTAGAGCTACTGTGACATCAGTAGGGTCTGGGCCCCTAGTTTCAGGGGCTGATGGGCCTTTTCACTGTTGGAATCAATCCCACCAAGAGAAAAACAAAAAAAACCCAGCCTGCCCTGGATTTGAACCATTGTGCCTTTAAGGTTGTTGGGCTGACGCTCTCACCAAATTATTCAACCCTGAAAGGAATCAGTTCCTAAAAAACCCTGCCACAAAGGCAGAGCAAACTAAAGTCATGGGAAGGTTTGAGTTTGAGCCCCCCCCCGGTGTTGTAGAGTCATTTACACCTGGGCCACAGGGCTGCACAATGGCTATAGAACAGCCCTGTTCTGACTAGACAGCACCTTAGCGAGTGCAAAGGAGGGGTCAGATGACTACACAAAGTGCAAGACAATGGAGAATCAGGTCCCTTCTAGGTTGATATGCCAGTGAGGTGTGATATGGGAGGAACAGTTGAGAGCATCAAATGATATCCTCAGCCAAGGCCATGAGCATGTCCCTGCTGAATTCTCCCTTCTGCTAAGCTCATGCTTTTGGGGAATGACAACTGTGGGAGGATGGAGTCTGACTTGAGCCATTGCACTTCTTAAAGTGGAACTCTGATTTTCTGAATAAATGGGCACGCGATGGCAATTATTCAGTTAGGTAAATCCTTGCTCCTGGGTAATCTCTTTACCACTGGGAGCAGCTGATGTCTTGGAAGTACGAGTAAGGGCTTTTATTGTGGAACATGGTAAGGGGCTCTTCCATCTTCTGGCTGCACCCAGTAATTCAAAGATCTGTTTCTTGGCTTTGTGATCAAGGGAATGGAAGCACGTGTGGTGTATCAAATGTTACCGTCATTCCATGCTGTGCTGGCGCTACGCCTACTTCCTATGAACTGGCATTGAACTGAAATTAGTAAGAAAAGGTATAAATGTCTTCTCAACCCTTTGTACCAGATGTGGGGAGAAGTGGTTGCCAGTCTACAATGTGCATTTACCAATTACTAAAGTTTGTTTTACTTCTTACACTCCTGCTTTATGTGAAATGATGCATATGTCTACATTCTGTCCAGCAAACACATTATTTGTTTCCCCTGTCATATGTTTATTGCAGGCTGATGCTTTTTTGGGTCTCCTCCCAAAATGTGGGGGGAAAAATTGTCTCAGATCTTGTTGCACAACATCATTAAGGTGCATCACATGAAGTCATGTATCAACTGGTAATTAAAACACAGAAGCTGCGTCAAAATCATTTATCAAAGAGCAGCAAAACAGTGGTAGCTGCATCTACACTGGCAAGTTTTTCCGCAAAAGCAATTGCTTTTGCGGAAAAACTTGCCAGTGTAGATGCAGCTACCACTGTTTTGCTGCTCTTTGATAAATGATTTTGACGCAGCTTCTGTGTTTTAATTACCAGTTGATACATGACTTCATGTGATGCACCTTAATGATGTTGTGCAACAAGTTCTGAGACAATTTTCCCCCCCAGATTTTGGGAGGAGACCCAAAAAAGCATCAGCCTGCAATAAACATATGACGGGGGAAACAAATAATGTGTTTGCTGGACAGAATGTAGACATATGCATCATTTCACATAAAGCAGGAGTGTAAGAAGTAAATTTCCGCAAATGCTTTTAACGGAAAAACTTTTCTGTTAAAAGCATTTGCGGAAAATCATGCCAGTCTAGACATAGCCTGGTGTGTTTTCAATGCCACAGTCATCAAGTCTGTATGTCCTTGCTCTGTCTGAGTTGGAGTAGCTAATGGTGACTCCAGCTATGTGAGCACCACATATCACATTGTCAAACATCAAGGTGGCTGCAGTTTATTGGTCACCCCAGAAGTACAACTGTCCTGTTTATTTCCAGTCTTGCTGTAGCACCTCAGAAACAATTCCATCTCCTACTGCGAGTCAAGACTTGGCTTCTGCCTTCAGTCCAGCCCAACTGCAGTGTTTATGGGTATGTCTACACTACCCTCCTAGTTCGAACTAGGAGGGTAGTGTAGACATACCCATAAACACTGCAGTTGGGCTGGACTGAAGGCAGAAGCCAAGTCTTGACTCGCAGTAGGAGATGGAATTGTTTCTGAGGTGCTACAGCAAGACTGGAAATAAACAGGACAGCTGTACTTCTGGGGTGACCAATAAACTGCAGCCACCTTGATGTTTGACAATGTGATATGTGGTGCTCACATAGCTGGAGTCACCATTAGCTACTCCAACTCAGACAGAGCCAGTTTTTCAGGTTGACTCAGGCCCCTTTATGCACATGAAGCTGGTGAAGTATTCTGTTCTGAAATCCGGTACCAGCTGCCCCAACCCCACTATAGGGGGACAACTAACTTGTATGGATGTCAGGCAGCTTTGACTCAGAGAGCTGCAACCAGCTCTGAGGGCACGTCCATGCTTACAAGAAGATTGACGCTCCAGCGATCGATCTTCTAGCATTTGATTTAGCAGGTCTAATAAAGGCCTATAAAATCGAATGCTGAGGGCAGACCCCCCTCTCCCCACTGGTGTTTGGTTCTCCTCCTTCTGTGAGGAGTAAAGGAAGCCAGCGGAAGCATTTGCTCCTGTCAGCCTCCCGCTGTGTGGACCCCACCATGGCTCACCTTAAGGTAAGTTAACACCAGCTACGTATGTTGCTGGAGCTGCATACCTTATGTCAACCTTCCTGGTCTTGTATAGACCAGGCCTGAGTGGCTCCCCTTTCACCGTTCCATTCAAGCTCCACATAGAGGAAATGGAGAAGCATCAAGACCACATTGTTCCTCTCCTGGGGGCCATGAAAGAGATTACTGAGTGCATGGGAAGGTATTTGTTGAAAAGGCCAAGGTATTCCTCGTCCCTTCTAACTTTCTTATACTTTTCGTTAGTACATCAGAACTCAATTCCACAAACTTGTCTCTGAACAGAGGAGCAGCAGAAAATGAACTGATAAATGAACAGCTCCCTTTTTCTCCTTCTGTGTATGTATCCACCACTGGTGGCAGACACGTGAGAGAAACGCACACAAGCTATAGGAATTCTTACCCGAGGCATTGACAAGTTACATGGTTAAATCACGCTCTCCATACATGTGACAGACTCAAAAAGACCCTAGGGACTGCCAATGCCTTGATGTTAGTGCCAAGAAAATTCCTCGTTATTCAAGTCACATCACCTAAGATTGTGCTGGAAACTGACTTTCGAGAGCTCTCAGAATATGAACTGTGGACTTTGCTTAGAAATACAGGAAAGCATAGACTCTTCTCTAGAGCTGCTCTTAGGGAACTTTGATAATTTGGTTTGTGAGATATGTAATAGCAGTTTACATGGAATAAAAATTGAAGACCACAGTGACAAAAATAATGTTATAATATTAAAATAAATCAAATGATATACTGCCATTATTCTGATACAGAATTTTTACAGAGCAATATTAATACACGTACATGACAAGAAGTCCGGTGGCCCATTAGAATAGATTTTAGGGTTTCTTTTTAAATATAGACTACAATTTAATACATCATTTAAGATGAGCAGCGAGTTTTACTCCAGGTTAAGGAACAAGTCTTTCTTCTCTTTGAACACTAAAACAACATACAGAATTCTTTGAACACTTTTTACACTTAGACGCTTTGGTTTAATGCAACAGTTTTTAAAAATGTAAACGCTACACCTATTGATTAAATTATTAATGTAGTGATGCACCCAACCTACAAATACTATAATAATTACAATAAAGGTACCAAATTTAATTTAAATACACTTTTTTGGCAGTCATCTTTTGCCTTGGTCTATATTTCTGTATAACACCCTCCCATCACATTTTAAATCAAGCCTATTCAAGTATAAAAATACTGACCAAGAGTTACCAAGTAACTAGTGATTTTGGATTCCTCCATGTATGGGCCCCATAGCTCAGACATTTAAATGGGCATGATTTCAAGAAAGTGCTATGAAACTGCCAATCATATCCCTTTAAGATATCTCAGTTTGGGCATTCAGAAATGGAAGCATCTGACATCAGCAGTCCCTTTTGAAAATCTTGTCCGTGACACCACAATAACTCAATGTTTGTTTTCAACATTTACAAGGCAAGAAAGTATGTTAAAGTATTTCCTCTAGCAAATAACTTGTTCATCACAATAACAAGGAAAAATATAAATACATGAAGTGGCTGTTTCTGGTTAAGAACAGCTCCTGCTAAAAATAGACATCTTCGTTTCTGAACTCTGGTAGACATTTGAATCTGCTAGGAGATATCCGAAGGCAGGCTAGGGTAGGCAGACACGGGCAGGTGTGATGCATTCTTCTTCCAAAGAATGGGATCTGGAGGCAAGTATTGAAAACGTCAGAAAGGACGAGAGGAAGCAGCGTCAGCAACAGGCAGCAACAGTGCCCACTGGTATGCTGAAATGGAGGCAGTGACATGAGGTCAGCTTTTCCTCCAATTTGATAAATAGGTCTATTGTGAAAATGCATTAACCATAGTCATCAGGCCCTGCTTTTACTATCTGTACTTCACACGAATATCTGCATGCAGTGATCTAGAGGGACCCCTCTGAGGGTTGACAACTGTCTAATCATACAAACCCAAACACCCTCGCCCCACCTCTTCCTTGAGGCCCCACCCCCACTCATCCCATCCACCCTCCCTCCGCCGCTCACTCCCCTCCCCCACTTCCTCACTTTCGCTGGGCAGGAGGTTGGGGGTGTGGTAAGGGGTACAGGCTTTGAGCTGGGGCTGAGTAGTTTGGAGTGTGGGAAGGGGCTCAGGGCTGAGTCTGGAGTGGGAGGTTGGGGTGCAGGAATGAGTGCAGGGTGCAAACTCAGAGTGAGTTTGGATGCAGGAGGGGGCTCAGGGCTGGAGCAGGGATTGAGGTACGGGAGGAGATGTGGGAGGAGGTGCAATTAGGGTTGCCAGGTGTCCAGTTTTGAACCAGACAGTCCAGTATTTGAGCTTTCTGTTCGGGAAACAAATTGAGCAAATAGAAATGTCCGGTATTTTCTCAATCAGATGTCATGTAGATTGTGATGTAATGCCAAGTGTGTCCGGTATTTTTGTTCAAACTGTCTGGCAACCCTAAGTGCAAGGCGCTGGTTCCAGGAGAAGGCTGGTTGGGGGGCAGGAGGGAGGGAGGGGCATGGGCTCTGGCCAGGCAGTGTTTACCTCGGATGGCTTCTCTGCCAGTAGAGCTAGAGCAGGCTCCTTGACTGCTCCAGCCTTGTGCCATTCCCTGGAAACGGCCAGCATGTCCCTGTGGCCCCTGAGACAGGCCCGGGGGCTCCTCATCATGCCCCTGTCTGCAGACACTGACCCTGGAGCACCCATTGGCCGCAGTTCCCAGCCAATGAGAACCCCTCCCAGGCGCTGCAGGGATGTGCTGCATGCTTCTGGGAGCAGGGCAGGCAGGGAGCCTGCGTTAGCCCCATGGCGCCGCTGGACTTAGAGACCTAAAATCTCCCAGTTCGGTTTCGGTATCCTCTGAGAGATGGAGCCCGATTCCAGGTGACTCCTGGTGAAACCGGGCAGGTTGTCAACCCTAACCCCTGCTTCATGACTCTTTGCTCCGTACTGCCATCGTAAAGCATCCATAAGGCAGCATGACTGGCCACAGAAAGATCACCCCACTGGAGAATAATTATCTGGTGGCCTACAGGTCACATAATGGCTTCTGTATGTCCCCCTTTCCCCCCCCCCCCACTTCTGCCACCACTGGTCCCAGCAATTCCTGCCTTCCCTAATGGCCTGTTTGCCTTTCACAGTGCTCTAAATTATGTCCGGAGAACAGCTGGGTTGGCACGGGGAAGTTCAAAGCAGACTTCAAAGCCATTTTTGTGCAAAATTTCCAATTGTGCTGAGCTTTTTTTGGTGTGTATAGCTATATTACACATACACAAAAATGCCTGCAATAAAGAATATAGCTTGTGCATGTACATTTTGATACAGTCTTTGATTACACGATAATGTACTTTTCCCATAGGATCCCTGCCTTACTCAGATCTAGCAAGTATATACTGAGCATGTCTGCGATACAATTTTTCTAAGGCTAATAATTGAGCTGAATGTAAGGAATTTTTCATGGGGACAGCAAGACGCTCTGAGAAAAAAAAGGCCCTGCTTGTAAGCTTGAGGACACTTAGCTTTCACAAAACAAAAATCTCTAGATTTAAAAACAAACAAACAATCCTCCCTGCACCTCACATTTCCCCCTTGACTTCTAGAGTTAGGGCCTGTCTCCACTTACTGGGAGATCGATCTCCCAGGGTTTGATTTAGCAGGTCTAATAAGGACCAACTAAATCAACTGCTGATTTTATCCCCAGTGACTCTGGTAGTCTACTAGGTCATGAGGAGTACGAGAAGTCAATGGGAAAGTTTCTCCTGTCAACCTCCCACATTGGATATGCTGTGGAAATTCGACCTAAGGTACGTCGACTCTAGTTACGTTATTCACATAGCTGGAGTTATGTATTTTAGGTTGACTTTCTCCTCGAGCCTAGACCTGGCCTTATTCTTAGAAACAGCTGAAACATTTTCGTTGAAATCTTCCAAAAACCTCAGCGTGAGACAGAACCCTGGCATGGGAAAATTCATCCCAAATAGGTAACATTTGACAAAGTTATGAAGAATTGAAAACAGAGTCTTACAATGGGAAGTGTCAGGCCATATTAATCATCCGCAGTGCTACCCGACCAGCCTATAATACAGATCTGTAGATTTAGAACATAGGAATATTGTTTCCTTCCAATTTGATTATTTCACAAAATTGAATTAATTTGACTCTTTTATGCCCTTAAGTTCAAATATGTCTGTTGCATAAATTACCATCTAAGATTTCTATGATAGAAGTGCTCAGAGGGCTGGACAAATACATATGAAGACACTGGGGAATGATTCTCCTCTTACTTATACCAATTTTATCCTAGCGTTTACAGCAATCCTAATTTACACCAATGGGAAAGGAGACAGATCCACGGCCTATGTCCTGAAGAGTTAATAATCTAAGAAATCTTGCCAGGTGTCTCTTTCATGTGTTACAAGAAAAAGCTTGTCTTGGAATTGTGCTCCGCTATGATCTAGAGCAGTGGTGAGCAACCCGCAGCCCCCCATCAGGGCTCGACGTGTGGCCCTCCAGACATTCTGTTTACTCTTGCCTGTGCACAGAGTTGCTGGACTCTGCTGGTTTCCATCTGTATGGTATTTTTCCTGCTGGAGTTATTGAAGTGACATGCATGTAAAGCAAGGTTCCGTGGAGTGACGTGCATGCTGATTGCACCCAGCTAGGAGACTATTGAATGAGAGAACCACGCGCTCCACTGCATCCAATCAAAGCACAGCTACGGTTCAATCGGCACCCACCACAAATTCTAGGTATGCCCATGCAGTTAGCACAACTCTCCTATCCCATGGGACAGTGTTGGTTATAGCATTCTCCCGGCCCACTGAAATGAAGCAGGGCCATTCACGCAGCCCACTCACTAGCTTAGGTTGCCCATCACTGACCTAGAGACGTGTAAAAAAATGGGATTAATGTATATTCAAAGATACGATACCCATATATTCCTCTGTCTACAACCTGAACAATTCTCAGAACGGTACGTATCACATGATACTGTCATCGTGGCCATACTATCTAGCCCTCACCATGGGCCCAATTCCACAAGTGCAATCGTCAGTGAAGTTAAAGGGAGCTTCATTTCCACACAGGATAGTTTCAAACCCAAGGAAAACAACCCTTATATCCTTGCATGACTATCACTAAAACTGCGCATTGCACTTGGGCCTGGCCAGTCAGGACAGACGCAAGTGCAATGGGGCCAAATAGCTAAAAATTATTAAAAACTGTTAAAACCACATACTTAGCAGCTTAAAGGCACTAGGGATATAAATGGTTAACCAGTTAGCCAGTTAACTGGTAAGTCTCACCCGCTTACCAGTGCCAGTTAATTGGTAGGGGCTGGAGTAGCTCCCTGCCCACCCCAGACCGGAGGTTCTTCCAGTCCTGTGGGTCCCACTGTAGGCAGGCGCAGCTCTGGCTAGCTGGAGCAGCCCATGTCCATGGTGGGCCCGGTCTGGCCTTCCCACTGCAGGTTACACACTGGTGCCCCAGGAGCAGGGCCGGCAAAGGTGCTTTGCTGCATCGCTTGCCGGCCCTGCTCCTGAGGAGCCAGCTTCGCTACAGGCTTTGCAATCTCAAGCTTTACGCTGCAGAGCCCATAGTGTGTAACTGCTAGGATTGTTAGTGGTTAGACAGTCACGTTTTAAATGACTTTTTACATCCCTAAAAGGCACCCGTCTTGGCAGCCGTCAGTGACTGCGGAGAAGGCAACAGTCACTCTGAACTGTAGCAGTCTCCCCCAGTTTGACACTCAATCCCAAGCAATTTAACTACACTGATGGCCCCACACAATTTCGAGACCTAACCAAGCAATGTCTGCCAAGGAACCCCCCGTGTGGGGAAGTCCCCACCGGGCAAAGAGCCACCAAAGATGGTTCCCATACCTCCCTGAGCTGTCTGAGCGTGGCCAGAGTGCAGTGCTCTCAGACTGTGTCCCGTTGGTGCATGGTCCCTAGGGAAATTTTGCCAGTGAGCACAAATTACAGCTGAGAGACACAGGGAGCCATAACTGGCTGTTGGTTCTCATCTGCTTCCCTTTCCCCCTTTTATTAAGCTGCCTCATGTCGGGGACTGGAGCCATCCTTTGCTAGGCACTTCCCTAGGCTAAGCAGAGCCAGCGTTTCCCCCACCATTCAGTGTTTTTCCCACAGATCAGCAACTCTCTCTTCACCCCACCTGCAAGGTAGTGAGCAGCCAGCAGGGGATTGGCTTTCCAACTGCAGTCGGGAGGTAAGCGCAGCTTCTCATAGCTCAACCGGTCTCCTCCAAACCCTGGTGCAAGGGGTCAGCTTAGGGCACACATTGTCACTCCACACCCACAGACATTTTTCACCTAATACAGTTGACAATAAGGACTGCAATTTAATGGTAATGGCTACAGACCACACAGCAGTGGCCTAGGTAGATGGTGACTGATGAACTAAAGACAGAGAGATCGGACAGGACACAAATTCATCCTCATAGTCAGAGGGAATACATATCGGGTGCATCTTGAGACTTGTTACACACGATGGATAGAAATAATATTTGACTCATTTTATATGTTGGTGTGTGAGGGAGATCAGTGGCTTGACATCTGTGTTTTATTTGGGAGGAAGGAAGGTCCAGTGTTTAGGGCAGAAGATTAGTATTTAGGTGACCAGCATCCTCCTTTCTGCTCTACCACAGATAACCTGTGTGACCTTAGGCAAATCAATCTCTCTGTTGCCCATCTGTAACATGGGGATAAAAGCACTGCCCCACCTTCTAGGGTGTTGTGAGGATACGTATAAAGACTGTGAGGTGCTCACTTAGGCAAATCAATCTCTCTGTTGCACATCTGTAACATGGGGATAATAGCACTGCCCCACCTTCCAGGGTGTTGTGAGGATACGTATAAAGACTGTGAGGTGCTTAGATACAGGTAGAACCTCTCTAGTCCAGCAATCTCTGGTCCAGCAACATCCAGCATGATTTTAATTAGCTGGATGTCCACTTATCATGGGTGTGGCCAAATTTCCCGTGGTTCCATAACGGTTGTTTACAGCCACCAGTCCTGGTGCTCAGTGTTCTGTGCTGTTATTTAGAACACATTTAGGGGTAAATTTGAGCTAACAGCCCAGCAAGCAGTGGAAGTGTTGGTAATGCTGCTAGACAATATTGACCTCCTGTGGTTTGGCAAATTCTCTGGTTTGGCACTGATCAGGTCCGGAGGGTGCTGGACGAAAGAAGTTCAACCTGTATTATCAAGGACTGCTTGCATGAGGAAATGTATCAGGGTTGGGCTCTGAAACTGTAAAAAGCTTTTCCTATCAAATACTTTTGACTTTGGGTTTTCGTCAGAGTACTTTTGACCGTAATATATTTCTTTACGTATGTTCCTTCAACATGGTTTCCATAAAGCAAGCAAACTGCTGGGTATTGTAACCGACGCTACAGATCCGAACGTTTTTACCATGTATGATTTTTTATGCAATTTGACTTGCAACAAAATATATTCACATTTTTTTTCTGCCTTGTCAGTTTCAGTATGATCAGAACTGCCATTAGTACATACTAACTTTATGACTCAACGGATGGCATTCTTCTCCCAAGTCACCCATTGGCGTGCACATTCGGAGGCTGCGAATCCAGAGACTGACAGCACAGCACATGCCACCTCCGCACTGTAGATCCCTGTCACAAGCCTGAAGTTTAATAAATAATAAATAGCATTAGGCAAACCAAAGCACTCCAAAAATAGCACTGTCCCTAGCTTTTTGCAAATGTTTGAGCTACACTTTCAGGTGGGAACCTATGGATAACATGGAAAAGCTTGCAAGCTACGATGGATCATTTAACACTTATGACAGAATCTAGTCCTGTATGTTTAAACAAACCATGACTATGCAGGGGGTCTGGATCAGCGCTGAAGTATCAGCTCTGCCACCTGCTATCCCCCCATATGCATGTGAGGATAAAACAGGAACCTCTGTAGTCCCCCTCCAGGAAAGCATCTCAAACGGCTGTCTGATGTTCTTTCCTAATTCCTGGCTTGAGGAATTTGACTAAGCGTAAAATGAGGAAAGCCTGCCAAACAGATAAGTGGCCCTGTCTTGAAGAAAAACTAATGCTGAAAAATACATAAATGAATTTAAAATGTTTTGAATCACTTTTCCTTCTAGATGCTAATTCTAGTACTTAATTGTAGTATTTTACGGTTGAGTGTCTTTGCCAAAGGTAAGACCATATTATACTTTTATTACAAAACTCCCTTTGGAGCTAGGTAAAATAAAAGCATAATCGGGGAACTTATGATTTCTATCTTTAGACCAGTTTTGGAATCTAAAATAAAAGAGGTTTTTAATATCTATAGGTACGTCTACACTTGCTCCCTAGTTCGAACTAGGGATGCAAATGTAGGCAACCAAAATTGCTAATGAAGCAGGGATTTAAATATCCCGCGCTTCACTAGCACGATCTCGCCGGTGCGTTACTCCGATCAACAGCTGTTTCGAAAGTGAAAGTGTGCACTGGGACACGTTAGTTCGAACCAAAGCCCTTGGTTCGAACTAATTTTATTCCTCAAAAAATGAGGAGTAATGTTAGTTCAAACCAAGGGGTTTGGTTCAAACTAATGCATCCCAGCGCACACTTTCACTTTTGAAACAGCTGTTGATCTGAGTAACACGCTGGCAAGATCATGCTAGTGAAGTGCAGGATATTTAAATCCCTGCTTCATTAGCAATTTTGGTTGCCTACATTTGCATCCCTAGTTCGAACTAGGGAGCAAGTGTAGATATACCCTATGAGAATGGCTTGACAAACAGTCCATACCCAGATAGGTGTTGGTGTGAGCTGAACAACGGAGTGCTCTGCATGTAAATTTCAGCCATAGGTTTTTAAGACATACTTATTATGAACACCAGATGAATTAGGATTTGTTTTGTGCATTTGGAAAATCAAAAGTTTAAGAGTAAGTGAAACATTGGGATTCAGAAGTGAAATATTATACTTGTTTATTCCTATTAAATTAAAAAAAGGAAAGAGATTTTAATTATACCTATATAGAGCCAAATCCCATTCTATAACTCAAGTGAGGAGTCCCACTAAAGCAAACAGGCCTCATCAAATAACAAAGATTAACTGAATTAGACCTCTTTTTCTTCATCAATATTTGACAGCAGGACTGACAGGAAAAAGGACTGATCAATTGTCTCAAATCGGCAAACCGAGAAAAGGATGTATCCTAATTGACCAGAGGGAAACATTATCATTTATTGGAACAAACGCTCTTTTTAGAAAAAAATGCTTGAGTACTTATACTGGATTTACATGCTAATACCATTATAGGTACTCCCCCAGGTAAATATTATGCCATTTCAAACAGCAGAACTCGCATCAAAATACATATTTACTGAACAGACAATAATATAGGAAAAGCTCTTGGGACAAGGGGATGAGCAATAAAACAGCAAATGTAACCAAAATGTGCAAAACTCACAATAAAAATATATATTTAATAAACTCACCAGCTATTACAAAGAAGCCTAAATACATACTTACCCACAAGACTAATCTGAACTAGCTGCTGTTAGAACCTTTCAGGTAGATAAGGTATGTTTTCTAACCTTCCATAAAACAAATCTGCTGATCAAATTCTGCATTAGTGACACTGATATAAAGTTAGAATCATGCTACCGGTTCAATTCTGCTGATCAAATTCTGCATTAGTGACACTGATATAAAGTTACAATCATGCTACTAGTTCAAGTCACTTTCTTTTGGCTGTTCAGCAGAGGCTAGCCATGGTGCTAAAACAAGTTTGAGGATGACAGAGTAGTCTGAGAACGCACTGGGTCTACAACTCCACTGAGGTGCTCATAAACTAGACAATTAAAATGAAGGGGCTTCTGCTTCATTTTTTGGTTGTCCTATTTCTGGAATTCGTGCCCACCGAGGTGCTCATAAACTAGACAATTAAAATGGAGGGGCTTCTGCTTCATTTTTCAGTTGTCCTATTTCTGGAATTTGTTTTTTGTATGTAAATTATTAAATCTGTCATTTGAGACGGGGGAGAAGGGACGGTGCTTACATTATACCTGCACAGAATCAAGTTTTAACTAGCCTAACATCTCTTGTGCTAGTACATTCTGAATTAATCAAATGCATGCGAGTGTACCGTGTTTATCCCCTGGTCCTGTGAAAGTTGCCCAGAAAGTAGGGAAACTCATGTGATGGTGATCTAAAAGCTGCTGCTGAACATGAACAACAAGCTGTACATTTGACTACCATGCTGCTCTTTATGGGTCAGATGATGGTGATCTAAAAGCTGCTGCTGAAAATGAACGACAAGCTGTACATTTCACTACCATGCTGCTCTTTATGGGTCTGACACCCAGGGTTCACTCTGATTAGTGCCTTATTCCCCAAGGAGACCTGTTCATTTCAGTGGGACTATTGGCAGGGTGAGGTGCTACTCAGTGTCAGTAAGGGTGTCAGAATCTAGCCCTGAAACAAAACTCAATTCATTCCGAGTAATAATTATATTTAAGACATTGTGTTAGTCTATATTCCTTTCCAACCTGACCTTTGGCTATTTACTCGGGAACCCATTTAAAGGTTTTCCCTGTACAAATTAGATTACACTGTCCCACATCCTTAAAAATGAATGGCCTTGGCTTTTTTTTTTTAAAGTCTACACTTTCTCTGATCTCCAACCTTTAACTTATCATAGAATCATAGATTAATAGAACTGGAAGGAACCTCAACAGGTCATCAAGTCCAGTCCCCTGCACTTCTACCAATATTCCCCAGAACTATGCTTATTTAATTACATACCTGCTCCTTAGCCTATATTGAACTAAATTCTTGGGGCAAACTCTGGTAATTTTCTCTACACTATTTGGGATTTAGTGTCTGATCCAAAGCCCATTTAAGTTAATGGAAAGACCCTCCCTGACTACAAGAGATTGTGGATCAAGCCCTTTAACCTGCACAAGGAGGAAAATCTACAGTGCACATGCATGCTTAGTGAACAATACAAAGAAAAACTACCTAGCATTCACCCGTATAGGAGTATTTCACAGTACATGGGAAAGGATTAGTAAAACTACACTTTGGGGTTTAAGCAAATAGCAGTTTTATAATTCTAATACACTTTTCTGTTCTAATCCATTTAATCCTTGACTACTGTTCTGTTCTTCTCTATTAGCTTTTTTACTGTTTTTTTTAATAAGGTGGCTTAAGACTTTATTGGCAAATATTTAGACTAGATCTACAGAGTATCTGGAAATATTCCTAATGTAAAGAGATCTTCAAATTCTCAAATATTTCAAAATGCTTTCAGAGTTTCTCATGTGCTTCTCAATAGGTTCTGATCCAGTCTTTCTGCTGATTAGATCTGAACCTTGGAGAATAATGAAATACGTTTCCATGAATAGAATTTCTAAATGGTTACATTGTCATGAAAATACACTCTAAATCTCCAAACACTACCCATGCTAATTACTAAGCTAAACCAAATGTTCAAAAAGAACTGTTTTCATTTAAAAATCCGTTAACAATTTTTATTTAAACAATGAACATATTAGAAAAATTGTATCCCCCCAAAGTAAATTCTGATAGTAATTTGCCTATTGCTACTTTTTATCAACTCATGACCAGTTCAGGAAAGAGGGGGAAAAAAGGGAGAAAGAGATACAATAATATACAACACATTGTGTTTTCTGAACCTTTTAAAACAGGTGCATTTCATTGGGTGAAACCAACAGAATAATCTCAAAGTATATTTAAAAGCAATTAAGTTTGAAGAAATATTAGCTATTTCAGTGTCAATATATATATTGGACAATAGGAGATAAGTTATAGGGAGGAAATGAATGAACAGTAGAGTTTTAACAACTCTAAATACATTACATTAAAAGAATACTCTGTCAAAAGCTGGGAATGAGTGACAGGGAAATGAATGACTTGATAGTTTCCTGCTGGGAATGAGTGACAGGGAAATGAATGATTTGATAGTTTCCTGCTCTGTCCATTCTCTCTAGGGCACCTGGCACTGGCTGCTGTCCCTCTGTTCATTCTCTCTAGGGCACCTGGCGCTGTCCGAGGATAAGATACTGAGCTAGATGGACTTTTGGTCTGCCATTATAGGCATTCTTATGTTCTTATCAACACACATTAAACCCTTTCTTACACAACCACTCAAGGGGCGAATAAAAATGGGCTATTTAACAGAAATAATCTTCTCCAGCTAATTCTCTTAAGTGAGATGCAGGATGGGCTTGGGAGATCGTTTAGAGGCAATCCAATGTTAAACGACCAAGTGTCACTGCATGTTAAAAGTTTAAAGTGACAAGCACTAGGGGTGAGTCTTTCCAAGGGCAAGCCGCCTAACCCATCTCAGACCCAGCTTCAAGGGGGAACCGCGACCGCTTTCAATCCACCGTCTGGAAAGAAGCTTCCTCAGCTGCACCGAGCTGGGTTTCCTTGGGAGAAAAGTGAAGTCTTCTGGCAAGTTAGGCAAAGAGAAAAGCAAAAGCAGATGGTCCTGCCCGCCCCAGCTGGATCTGCCCGGGGGAGCGCGGGGGTGAAGATCAAACCGAGGGGAGGGGTTAACAGTCCGCAAGTCAGGTCCCCGCTCTCTGTCCCTCCACCCCCCGCCGGCGCAGGGGGCGCCGTGCAACCGGCCGGGGGGCAGGAAAGG